TCGGGACCATAGTAAAAAATTGCATTTAAAGAAGTTATGCATTTAGGGAGGTTGTATTTAGGGAGGTCCGACTGTAAGTTATTTAATAAATCACTTACCATAAGATTAGCATTGCATATATGATGCTTCACTATACCACCACCCAATATAATAACACCAGTTTTTTTAGCGAATACAGCTTGATTATTTATCGACCTAATGTCTGACACTATATCGATAATTAAACCGGGATTTTTAAAAGAATGAAAATAAATCATGTCACCCAAAGAGCCATCAGTTAAAGCCGGGCAATAAACAGGAATATCATTCTAAAATATACATGTATATTAAAAAAAGCTATAAAAGGCAATCAATCTAAGTTAACAAAAATAATCATTACTTTATATGCCCAATAGTAAATTGAATCAGGATTATCGATTTCTTTACCCAAGCGGTGGATTATTTTTGAAGGCGACCATATTATACCCTTAATGAACAAATTTGTAAGACTTAGAAACGAAATGATTCAACATCTAAATATATACCTCGCTTTGTTGCTCTTCTAACAAACGGTCTAAAATTGGTACAACCCAATCTTCAAATTTGCAATAATTTTCATTAGGTACTAGTAAATTTCCAATCCGATTTATTCCTTGTTTTCTTAATTGGGCGCCGGGTAAATGGAAATCACCCAAATATGTAGGACCCAAGCATTTTATAAAATCTTCTTCCACACCACCAGCAGTTGTGACGACAACGTCCACGAGAGAATGTTGAACTAAAAAACGGAAAATTTCACGGAGTCCTGATGATACAAGATTCGATGTATAACCGAGAAAAATCTTGCATTTTGTGGAAGAACGAACGGCCGGAAGTTTGTAATCATCGGATTCATCGGGTAAAATTGGATCATCAGACAAACGCCAATTACGCTAAAATTAAGAATTTCATGCTTATATGGTTTTTATAACATTCCTCTTTTTTTTTTTTTTTTTTGAAAAAAAAGAATTGAATTATATAAAAACCATTTGATTGATGACATTAATAGCTTGACCAACACTAGTTGCCTGGAAACCAATACGAGAGTAATTCTTGAGCAAGTCATTTAAAGAATGGTTTTGGTTAAAATCAGGACCTTTAATGATTGTAGCGTTATCAGGCATAGAGGTAGACTTGACTAGTACTGCCTGGGTGGCAACGGTAGGCACTGAAAAGGACGCATCATCTTTATCAGTGTTGTCCATTATTTGGACAGGTCAGAGTGTGTTAATCTAATTTCAACATCGTTTGTGTTCGATTATCTGCTTTTATAAGATTGGATAACTTTCTCGTGATTGGTCAATTACATGAATCCATTGTAATTGGTTATTTCACGTTCATGTGATATTGGCTGCTTTCATTATAAAATAGGTGATAATTATTACAATTATTAGAGTTCTGAATATTTTACATAGTAACATTTTTAATGCGTAAGTCAACTATTGTGCACTCCGAACAATAATAAATCGCATTATTTACAGTTATCTTCATAACGATGGCAATTGGGACAATTTATGGGAAACAGCAAATTATATGTATAAATAGTCTATATACTGTATTGGCTAAAATCAACTTTAAAATGAATATTTCTTGAAGTTGCTAATCAAATCAAAACAGGGAGAATTGCTAGTCTTCCACTCCGAGATAATTTGTTTCGTAAGCTAATAGTATAACTCATTAATGATAATAATTCATTCATTTAAGATTTATTTAATGATAGCAAGTAGTGAATTGACTCGACTATATCATGATCGATTATTGATCTAGTTGAGTCAATAGTCAAGCATGATTTTGTAGACTCGATCAAAATTATTGATCAATAATGTTTGATCGATCAGATAGTTGAATTTGATCGATCAAGAAAATTTATAGAATACATTATTATTCTTAGATTTTTTTTAGTAGATAAGATATAATCGATCAATTATTGACCTGATAATTGTTCGATTATATATACTCGAGCTTCTAAATTATATGCTTGATCGATTATACTCGATCAAGTTTATATAATTGATTTTTGATCGATTAAGCAAAATTTTTTTGGTCAATCATCAAGCAATGATTTTTTTGTCGAGTCAATTCACTAACTAGACCAATTTTGAGCTCTACAACTTTATTTAAAGACTCAAAAGTGGTTAACTTAGTACAAAAAAACTTTTAGATGTTGGACGATCATAACTAATAAATTATCAATTAATCATTGATTGGCTGAAGATCATGTGATAATAATCTGATATTTGATTATAGTCACACCTCTATACAATTACCACAATAGGGCGCAACGGACTTGGTGATTATAGGAAGGTCTGACTGTATATATATAATTTATTAAACTTGAACATGTTCATGATCTTTTGAACTGAACCTGAACTAAATCTGAATTTAACTTAAAAGTTTAATATTAAATCTAAACTGAACTTTTTTAAAAAAATGTTTTCAAGTTCAGTTCAATTTTAAACTAAACTTGAACTTGAACAAAAGTTCAGTTCAATTCAGTTCATAGAAGCACTAATTGAAGTCAAGTATTTATTTGAGCCAGAATTTAAGAATGCTTTAGAGAGGGTGTACACTTATAGAGGCACATTTATAAAGGTTTCACTGTATTAGTTGAATCCAAACGAAGACATATATTTAGGAGGACTTTTACAGGACGTGCATACTAGGGGTTGTATTTAAAGGGTCTGACTGTACTATAAAACTTATATCTGAATTAGGTTTAGAGTTAGGTTTCGGAACCAGGTTTCGAGGCTTTGGAACCAGATTTTAAACCAGGTTCTGAAACTTTTTAAAAACCAAGTTTTTAAGTTTACAAAATGGAACCTAAAGGTTTTGAAACCAAAACTGAACCTAAACCACCCTAGTTTATCGTGTTCTGAAAATTTGTGTTTATTGGTTAATAATGCGGGGTATTTTTGTGCCGAAATTTTCCAAGTCTTGTTGATTTTTGCACCAAAATTTACTATGGATTTTTAGAGGCAGTTTACAAAAGAATTTTTTCTTAATGAGATTTATTATAAAAATTTTTAAATTGATTTGTCTTCGAAATATCTTCAGAAACTCAACTAAATACATAAATTGCATCAACTATATATAGTTTTAGATAGTTTTAAAAGCCTGCATATAATAACAACTGCTAGTAGAAAATGCTTTTATTTCACTCATCCATGCTAGTCGAAAAAATATGATTTTGGGATAATCAAGTTTATTGTGTTCTGAAATTTTGTGTTTATCGGTTAATAATTTCAGGTGATGTGCAAATCATCAAACCACCTAAAATTTTTTATGCAATGGATTTCGCGCCGAAATTTATCTGAATTTTATTGATTTTTGCACCCGAACTCTTACGATTAATTTTCGCGCCGAAATCTATCCAATCTTATTATTGATTTTCAGTGGCAGTTTGGGCACTTCTACCACAAAAGAATATTTTCTTAATGAATTTATGATACAAAATTTTTAAATTGATTTGTCTTCGGAATGTCTTCAGAAACCTAGCTGAATAAGTAAATTGTATCAACTATAGTTTTAGTTAGTTTTAAAAACTTGTATTTCACAAACTGCAATATAAACTTTTACTAATAAAAGCTATTTTAATTTATCGCTAGTAGAAAATTCTTTTATTTCACTCATCCATGCTCTTAGAAGATGTTATACTTTCTTTAAGCATCCAATTTTCGGCATGGCATGAAATTTGACTCAATAGTTTTTAAACATTTCTTTTGTTGTAAGAAGATTATAGACTTTAACTAGATCAAGCGCCTACATATAAATTTATAGATCTATCAGCTCACCAGTTTCAAATGTAATTATATTTAAAGGTTCATTGTATACCGTTGCGTTTAGTATTCCGATTTGGCCGACCTGAATGACTTATGCTATATTATACAGGTGGTGATCATCCCTATAAAAAATTTTCGAAAACCATATTCGGCTTTCTCTAGACTATTGTTCCATTATCGATCCGAAAATTGCTCAGTTTTTGGCATAAATTCTTGGTCATTTCCATAGAATCCTAATAAATTCCAGATAAAAATCAAATCCCAGCTTCTAATTCTAATGAAGTACAAAAGATTAGAAGCCAAATCTTACCCGGATTTGATTTCTACCTGAAAATTACCGGGATTCTATAGAAATGATCAAGAATTTGTATGGTTTGTTACGAAATATGAGCATTTTCCGGAACGATAATGGAGCGATATTAAGGAGCGATATTCATCTGGAAAAAACCGGGATACGTTTTTCGAAAAATTTTTATAGGGTAATGTGTATTTCATGTGCAAGATGGGCATATATAGTAATTGATTCAAATTTATTCAATTACATGATTTCAGTCATACATATACCACAAGTTTAATCAGTTGACAATATTAATGGTATTTCGAAATAGATTGATAAGATAATTGATTATTGGGTAATATTTTTACAAATACTAAATAGTTTGTCACTACACTTGGATCCTTAATACAAGTCTAACGATCATACTACATTCTTTGCTTAAGCGCAGTTACGTTACGCAGCTACGTACCTGATTTTTACTTTAGGCACATAAAATATTTTCAATTTTGTGAAATGATAGATCACACCTTTCATGCCCAGTAAAATACAAAATTGTTAGTATGTATTTGATTATTAAAAATTTCTTTAGAATATAAAATCGGTTTACCAGGTATTCTGGTTGAATGTCAATAAAAAATTTATTTAAAAAGATTTTTTTTTAAAAAAAAAAAATTTAAAATCTGTCACCAGTCACTAAAGTTTAGTCAGTTGTTATGAAGACCGATAATATAGGATTGTATAGCTTTATTAAAAAAATTTTTACATATGAAATTTTTTACCAGGTACCTGGTTGAGATTTTTTTTATTATAAAAATTTCTTTAAAAAAAATTCAAATCCGGGTCGGCGGGTCATGAGAGGCCAGTTGGTGATATGAAAAATCGAAAGTATAAGTTTGTATGGCCTAAGCACTATTTTTAAATTTTTTTTTATAAATATTATTTATATTAACAATTATCAAAATAAAAAAACCTGCTAACTTCTATTCTCTACGAACTAACCAATCACAATCGAGATGTGATATGCGATCTATACATTTTGTCTAATTTTTAAAGCTATAGATTTGAAATAATTAAATTACTATATATATAATACGATTCATCCACGTATATTCACGTAACCTAATTGGTTAAATAACATAAAAGATGTTTGTGTGGTATACTAAATGGTATTTTAAGCATGCTAGGTACCCTATTATAAACGCCAAGTTTTAACCGGATTAAAATATTATAAACCCAATTCAAAATTAGCTGGTTAATTTCAATATTGAATCTCAAGAGTTCTTTGATATTACAGCAGATCTCTCTAAATACAACCCTCATAAATGCAGCATCTCTATAAATGTAAATATTTAACTCTGACCCAAACATATTGTTCATATTGTTCTCTAAATGCAAGCCGTCAAAAGTCTAGTCTCTACAGGGAGGTTTGACTGTAATTACCAATACCATTAGTACACTCCCCTGACATTGATCACCGGAATTTTGATTTTCACGTTACCTAATGATGATCGTAGCCACATATGTAA